TTGCAGGACAAACACCCCATATTCTTGACCTGGTACTCTCACCGGCACAATCAATGTCATCGGCCTAGCCGTTCTTCAGCCCATTGGTAAAAGCGATCACTGTGTGGTTTCATTCCTCTGGACTCGACGACTTACTCTCCACAACCAAGGTCGCCTCCGCAGAAATTTCTGGCGTGTTCATCACAACACCTGCAAACGGCCGCCAGTACTGTGGACTGGAGTATACCTGAACCCCTGGAGCTGGACGACGAGTGGAACCTCTTGTACTCCAAAATGATTTCGCTCGTTGAGCAGGTCATTCCTGTCTACAAAAGACTTTTTGCCAGAGGTCCTCCAAGGATTGATCCAGAACTGAGGGGCCTAATGAACAAAAGACGGAAACTGTGGGTCCGATTCAAGCTCACGCAATCCGAGTCTGACTATTCGAAATATAAAGTGGCCCAGGAATATCTGCAACTTGCAAAAACGAGAGAAACGGCAAAAGTATGAACTCGGTTTGGCTGTGCAATCCAAGACAACTCCCAAGGCACCCTTCTCTTACCTGAAGAGAAGTACCAGAGCAGGAAGTGGTATACCTGCTCTGTATTCCTTGGCGCATGTGGGTTTACTTGACGATGCCGCTGCGAAAACCAGTCTCCTTGCTATGCAATATTCGTCTGTTTACTCGATGGAGACACCATTTCCCAGTGACGCGGTGCCAATACTCCCTTCTTCGTTGGAACATGTAGAAATCAGCGCTGATGTTGTTGCCAAAGGCATCCGTCCAAGTGGGACCGGAACTGTAGGAAAATCCCGCGAATGTTCCACCTTGGAAAACGTCGTTGATCCAACATGGAAACCGGTGTCTTGATGTGCCAAAGGAGAGCCAAATGAACACACACCATTCACATGGTCAACCAAACAATGCCCACGTGTCATGCACTAGCAGTCCCCGCTGTGCCGGCCACGTGAAGAATAAAAGAAAACAGTAGTGTCAGTGAAGGAAAAGAAACAGAGGGGAAGACAAGGTTATCGAATATCGTAGGCAATATTAAGATGTAAGTTAAAATGAGTTAAAGAAGCGTAGGCCGTAGTAGACGAAGAAATGTTTCAGACATGAAGGGGGAAACTTTAAACTGCAGACCGAGAGCGTCAAGTCGATGCTCGAACTCTTTCACCGTCGGTGCCATCACGACGTCTGCAGGCAATGCGTTCCAATAAGCTATGACCCTACGCGATAACCGAAAAGCTGCCAAAACCCAGTCAGATCGGGGTTTGTGCAGCTTTAATGGGTGGCCACGAAGGGTTGGCACTCGAGTTGGGGGAAACAGTCCAGTCAAATCAGGACCAATCTGACCCATCAATATAGGATATGTGAGGACCAAGTCGCCCCGAAGCCGCCTGTAATACATGGAAGACATATCCAAATTACGTAGCCTCTCCGGGTACGTCAGCTTCTTCAATCCGTGCACCATTTTGGTCCCGGACCGCAGGACTCGTTCAACTGCCATCTTATCACGAGCCAGGTTTGGAGGACAAGCCTGAACGCAGTATTCCAAGTGCAACCTTACAAAAGCCGAAAACAGTCTAACGAACATGTCGGTGGTCATGATCCTGAATGACCTGAGGATCATCCACAACATATTGAAACCTTTGCGAGCAGCTGTCGTCCAGTATTCACTGGACATAAAGTCGGATGACAGCAAAACAAGGTCAGATTGAAGTTGAACTCCCGATACCTCAATGCCGCCAAGCAAATAACGCATCGGCGGGTCATTCGGACCAACGCGTAAAAAGAACATTTCGCGAAATAAACGGGCAACGTGAATTAGACCCGAACTCCTCGCCGGGTCCTGAGGGGTTGCATGCGCTCTTCCTCAAGACTGTGGCCGATTACATTGCCACTCCTGTTTGCCGGGTATTTCGGCATTCTCTTGAAATGGGACGGCTCCCGATTACTTGGAAAGTGGGGATTGTTAAACCCATACACAAAGGAGGGGATCGCTAAAATCCTGCCAATTATCGACCCATCTGTTTAACGTCAATATTATGCAAAGTAATGGAGAGGATTCTCAAGCGGACACTTCTTGTCCACCTCGAGAACCTAAACGTCATCTCTTGTGCGCAGCCGGGTTTTCGACGGACGCGCTCATGTTCTTCAAATCTACTTGTGGTCCGTGAAAGACGGGCGAAATCATTAGATGCTGGAAAACGTCTGGATGTTACTTCTGTCCAATCCAGCAAGACCTTTGACAAGGTTGTTCACGAAAGGCTCCTCTATAAACTACGAGTATTCGGTGTTTCTGGGAATGTTCTCTCTTGGATCATTAATTTTTGCATGACCGGAAAATGAGGGTCGACGTGAACGAGACTTACTCCGCTCCTGTGCTCATGGTTAGCGGTGTCCCTCAGGGATCAGTCCTGGGCCCAGAACTTTTCAACATCTTCATCAATGGCCTCCCAGCGGAACCTGAGTTGGATTGCTCGATTTACACTAACGACTTGAAGTTATGGATGGAGGTATCCTGGCTTGACGATGCGGACCGGTTACAAGCTACACTTGATACGTTACATGCGTGGTCAGTCAATTGGCGATTGCCAATAAATCGCGATAAGTGCTCGGTCCTCCCCAATGGTGCTCCTGAGACTTTCGGCACGTACCACATTGGTGGGGCGTTGCTCAGAAACACAACCCTTAAAAAAGAGCTCGGCGTGTTGGTGTCATCTGATCTACGGACTACACAGGACACGTTACGAAGGGTTGCTGCAACCAACAGGATGTCCCATGCCATACGACGAGCCTTCTCGCGTTTGTCTCCGGATATCTTCCGACTATTGTTTACTTCTCATGTCCGCCCCCTTCTCGAATACGGATTACCTGCCGTCTTCCCTCTCACCAAGTTCGAATGTGACCTCATTGAGAAGGTCCAACGGCGGGGATCGAAAAATACCTTTGAGGTACGAGACTTGCCTTATTCTCTGAGACTTCAGCGCATGAACCTGTTCTCCCTGGATTATCGCCGACGTCGCAGCGACCTGAATTTCACCAGGCGCATCCTGAGAGGAGAGATGGGGACGGAGTTGCATGTGGTGCTTTCAATTCAATGCAAACAGTTCAACACGAGGCCACAACTGGAAACTGTTTAAACCCAGAAAACTCCGGGTCCATCCTGCTCTCACTCTAGCAACTCGCGTAGTCAACGATTGGAACGACTTACCGAAGCATGTGGTTGATGCTCAGACAGAGGAATGTTGCAAGCGGATGTTAGATTCTTATCTTTTGAATACAATGGGCGCTTGCAAATTCCACTGTAGCTGTCACGGTCCCTTGTGGATTACCACTTAACATCGAATCGCGGCCTCCACACAATGATCGGGAAGCGATGGAGCTGACAAAGGATTGCTCCTTCTGCTCGGTACAATCCTATGAACCTATGAAGGCCAAAAACTCGAGTTACCGCGTAATACTCACAGTTCACAACAACAACAACCAGCTACTGTACATCAATATGCTAGACAATGGATTCCAAGCACTTCGGAAATGATAAGCTCCTGATCGCGACGATAGTTGACTTCGATAATACACGATGGTTCGCGTACTTTCGTGATCCACCGAGCTACGCTTCTTGGCATTTCCGAACCCTGGTAGCACATGTCCAGATCCTGTCCACATTAGCCTCCGTTCCAATGAGAGCAACACGTTAAACTGGGCAGGATCTTGTACCGTGCGGTGGCTAAAAAGGAATTTTGTCCAGTTTACGGCGGATCAATGAAACGGATGCTAGCGTTGACCACTAGAAATTCACCTTATGCGTGGCAATCCGGTAGGTTCAGAAACCGTACTTGCCTACCATTGATACCCGAGTACGGACAACACACTACTACGCATTGAGTATCTAAGGAATATATTGACGGTTCCAGCCCAAGGTTCACGCAGTACATGTTGCTGTAGTTGCTGGCCGTGGGAACACACCTAGGCGGCGCTTCAAGCTGTTGGCCAGAAAACGAAATGGAGCTCACCGCGCACCTGAGATCACAGGGCGTAAGAAAATGACAACCGGGGTATAAGAATGCTTTATGTACATGAAGGTGTGGTACAAGCAGAAAGCGGCATTATCAAGATGGTTAATCCGTTTGGGTGATGGATAACTTAGGCTACAGATGTTCATAATGAAGCAGTGGACTCACCTCGTTCGAAGTGCATACTTTACGTTTTTCAACAGACGGTCTCGTGTGTTGTGCAGAATGCAACCAGGTTTTGATGTGGCGTGTAATGTCAGCATCCGAGGCTGCATCACACCTGCGTAACCGAAGGATGCCTTGGTAGCTTTTATGGATTACCGACCATGTACAATGCCGTTCATATTTGTTCGCATGTTCGTTTGCGGGAGTTCCGTGGAGTCCGTAGCAGCGGCTAGAAATCTTTTGGCGAAAATGACAAGCAAGGTTGCACAAGCCCTACTGTTGACGAACATATCATGCTGGTACCTCAGACTTTGAATAAGTTTTCTCAAGTTATGCACCACTTCATCGGAGTGCTGTCATCTTCACAGCAGTTAGTAACGTTATCAGACGACTGCACTGTGAGCAATTCTAAGTAATATATGTTACAAAGCCTCTTACCCTTTTGTCGCTTAGCTGCTGACAAAAGAAGCACTTCTTCGTAGCTACATCCTGATGTCATTCTTTGCTACACGGTAAATGGTGCCACGAAAGACGGAAAGAGTGTAGTTCATTGGTTCATAGAATTGAAGAGAGCAGAAGGAGAAATCCTTTGTCAGCTACATCGCTTCCCGGTCATTGTGTGGAGGCCGCGATTCGATGTTAAGTGGTAATCCACAAGGGACCGTGACAGCTACAGTGGAATTTGCAAGCGCCCATTGTATTCAAAAGATAAGAATCTAACATCCGCTTGCAACATTCCTCTGTCTGAGCATCAACCACATGCTTCGGTAAGTCGTTCCAATCGTTGACTACGCGAGTTGCTAGAGTGAGAGCAGGATGGACCCGGAGTTTTCTGAGTTTAAACAGTTTCCAGTTGTGGCCTCGTGTTGAACTGTTTGCATTGAATTGAAAGCACCACATGCAACTCCGTCCCCATCTCTCCTCTCAGGATGCGCCTGGTGAAATTCAGGTCGCTGCGACGTCGGCGATAATCCAGGGAGAACAGGTTCATGCGCTGAAGTCTCAGAGAATAAGGCAAGTCTCGTACCTCAAAGGTATTTTTCGATCCCCGCCGTTGGACCTTCTCAATGAGGTCACATTCGAACTTGGTGAGAGGGAAGACGGCAGGTAATCCGTATTCAAGAAGGGGGCGGACATGGGAAGTAAACAACAGTCGGAAGATATCCGGAGACAAACGCGAGAAGGCTCGTCGTATGGCATGGGACATCCTGTTGACGGCAGCAACCCTTCGTAACGTGTCTTGTGTAGTCCGTAGATCAGATGACAGTTAATTGATAACTTCTTCGACGTGGCATGCTGCAAATGAATACATAAATTTCAAACAGGCTATAACTGGAAAACCTGGTAGGTATGTCTGAGGAAACGCAGTATCAAACTAGCTAAAGTATAGAACAAGAAAAAG